GTCTGTAACCCTTAAATCAGTCTCTTTGTGTCTGTTCAGAGGAAATGGTTGTGTTCAGAAGATCTGATGCACATGAGAAATCTTTATGAAATGCCTTTGACAAAAAAGAATTTACAGTAACACTTATAGCACTAATACAACAGAATGAAAATAATCCAAACCAGCATGAATCACCATGAACAAGTATTAGATGTCTTCAAAAAAAAAGTATAATTCCAGTAATTCTGGTGCTCACTTTTAACATAGCTTTTCATTTGAGTTTGCTACTTTTACAGAGCAACGCTTCTCTCTTTTAGAAACCTTTCCACTAAAACCAGATTGATGCTTAAAACATCATCAAGCCCTCTTCCTTCAAGTCAATAATCCCAAGCCTTTTCATAACTGAAATAGTGGAAGAGCCATGGGCTCCATGGAGTCCACAGGAGGCCTTACTACTCCACTTGGTTTTCCATGGAAAGTTGTCAGCCGCTGCAGTATGTACCCTGAACAGTCAGCTTAAGCAATACTGGAATGAAGATTGTAAGAAAGCTTGACTGGAATAAATACTTGTAACCTCTTGTGAATTTGCTGTGGTATTCCAGATTTACCACATGGAGCTGTGTACTAAATAGAATCAATAATTTGGTGGTTGGTCCTGACTTCTGCTGGATGAAGCTACTCTGTTGTTTTGTCACAGCTATGGGCCTGTTTTCTCTCCTAATTTGTTGTGCTTGCTCAGTGAAATTGAATCGCACGCTGTTTCAGGCAAGTCTTGGAGAAGTTGTTTTCCTCGGTGCAGATGGCTCTTTCCTCCAGATGTGAAAGGCAGTTAAGAGCTGCCTCATTTTTTTCTTAACCCTTCTGAACCATCTTGAAATGCCCTTGATGCTATAGTAGTGCAGTGGTTTGTGCCCTGTAGATGATTTTCTTGTGTGTGTGATCTGCCATGCGTGTCAGTCACAGCACTGGCTCCTTAAACGGGTTGCTTTGGTTTATTTGGCTTTTGTTCTTGTTTGTTTTAACAACGACAGAGTAAAATTCAAGAGCACAGCAGCCCCTGGGAGATCTCCCTGCTGGAAGCTCTTGTGGCAGCTTGGCACCAGTGAGGGCGCAGCCCCTGGTGTTTGCAGCTGCAGATGTTCCAGCCCTGCATCTTCAGCCCAAAGCAGTCAAGGAGAAACTGTACCCTGACCATTTCCCTTCACCCTGCCCGTTTCATTTGGGAACACAATGAGCTGTCAAAATTTCCTGCTTTGTTACCACAGAATTCCTTCCTTTCGCCCTAAAAAGTATTATTTATCTAAAACTGCTAATTGCATAAATTGTCAGAATGACTGCTTAGCTTGATTCTTAAGGTGGAGACAAAGAGATGTAAAGGTCTGGTGGACTGATGAAAGTCAGCCTCAAAGTCATCTGCCAAAGCAAAAAAAAAAGCATTGAGTGTGTTGCCATTAACGGCCCAAATTAATGTGGCAAGTTGTATATCTGGTGCAATCCCTTACTAAGATGTAATTAAAAGTAAAAGGGAAGAATATTAATATTTTCCAAATGCGTGTGCCAAGAAAAAATGGAGGAAGGGAGGTGTGGTTGATTTAGCCCACCACCACTTCCTAACTAATCTTTCTCTAATGATGTAGAGAGAGACTAGGTGGCACCTGGTGAAGTATTTTGAAATAACAGATTCATGAGGTAGAGCTACTTGATAACATCTTTGACTCATCAGAAACTTGCCTTCCCTCAGGATAAAGGTAATAATCATATAAGAATATAAAGATTTTAGTAACTTTTCCTAAGTCAGCAAGGATGCAGATTTATTCTGTATACAGGTTCCTGTAGTGCTAGAGACAGTCCAAAATTATATTGTCTGTAAAAAATTTAAAATTACACAAACAGCCAATTCTAATAATCACTAATTTGTCATGACTTCCGATCCTGGGGCTTGCTAGTTCAGTAAAACTCATTCACATTTCTTACTAATTCCATCAATAGCTCCATTACTTTCCCTCCCTTTGCTGAAATTGCTTTGAATGGTGTACATAAGCATTTAATTTGGCTAGTCTGTAGGTCTGTATGAGACAGCAGGACTGTGGGAGGAAGCTGGGCTAGCAGGAACATCAGGCATCAGGGCCACAGAGCAGCTGGGACAAAGAGGTGACAGCTGCGGTGAACTTAATTTAAAATGGCTGTATCTTCAATACCTGGTATCTCCCAGCATTGTGTTATCCTCAAGGATCATGAATGCTCTTCTGTGTCAAGATCATCAAGAAAAATTCTTTAGGACCATTCCCAGCATAAATTTTCTAAATATCATGGAGATTACGGAGTAATTGTTCCCATGCAAAAGTTTCCTTTCCATGCACCGTGTTATCTTCTTATTTTTAGTCTTCATTTCTTGTACTCTTCTCTTGCCTTCTCTTGGATGTTTAATGAGGTCCATATTGTTGAATTGCACTACAGTATTGCTTTCTTTTCCTTTTGTCTAACACTTAGTTATTTTATTTGAGGTAATTAATTATCTTGTATGGTCTACTTTTGCTAAGCCCACCTTGTCTTTTCATCTGTGTTACAGTTGTCTACCTACCTTTAGTGTTCTCTTCCTCAAAATTTGGGGTCACACTTTTGAGATCAGAGTTAAGGAATCCTTTTGATACATGACTGCATATGATTTTCTTTTTGTCTAGTACTATGGTACCTCCTCTGATTTGATAGTTGCATTATTTCATGCCTAGAAAGAATATCAGTCTTTCTGGCTTTATAGTATCATGTGCTTTGGGTGTTTTTTCAGATTTTTGGAGTCTGAATTTACCTTTTTTTGTTTTGTTTTTAATGTCTCCGCTGATACAGTCACAAGTGACATGTTTATATGTTTATCAGTGTGTAATACAGGGGATTACTTGCAGATTCCTGTTAATTCATTGGTGCCTGCAGAAAAACAAAAGCGTTGGTCAAGGCATGCTCTGAATTCACACCCGTTCTTGATTTGCTGATGCCTGTATCAGCAGCAGGCTCAAGCCTGCCTGATTTTTTTGGGTTTATATCATGCGTACCATGTGCTTGCCATTCTTACTCTTTGTGCACACGTGAGCCAATCTGATGGGGTTACCGTGGCAGAGAGCAATGCTTTTAAGTCTGGGTGCTGCTTCATGAGCTCTGGCTTGTGGGTGCTGGTGAATCCTGCGTCGGAGTTCTACAAACTCTCCAGCTATTTGCTCCACCCTTCTTCTCTTTTAACGTGAGGATCACGGGGGATGGGTTCTTGTACCTTCATTGCCACAATAACGTTACACATAATTTTAAGCTGCTGATGAAGGTAGACCCACGGCATCAGAGTACCTTTGAAGTGGAACAGCTGAAGAGCAGGTAGAGGTTTGCCCCTCCTGGCCCTGCTGTCAGGAGGGGTAATTGGGGTCAACAGCAGCCGGAGTTGCTTTGGACTGGTTCCTCAGAGTGGTTGGCAAGAAGGAGCCGAGAACGGGGAGCACATGTTCTGTCTCTGGGAACAAAAAAGCAAAGTGAAAGTAAGGGTGAGAGAACCTAGATTTATATTTATAATCAAAAGTGACTGTGTTTGAAATATTCTTAATTTGCATGCACTCTCTTGTGTCTTTCGTATCTCTAAGGACCCCTAGAGGGCACGGAAGTTTTTCTCCACCTCAGATATTTAACTTAGTAATTCTACTTGGCTTTCTTCCCTTGAACATAATTGTAAGCACATTTTAAGTGAACATTAGATAGAAAAAAAAATAACAGCATTTAACTAGGGCCTTCTTTTATGCTACAAGATGTTTTCTTGTTTTTAAACACAAGCAGTAGAAGCTAGCCCGAGCAGCCAAATTCTTAAATTATTGTTTAGATTAGTCAGATGCTATATTTGTATCCCAGAGGAAATGCAATTCAAAGTAACTAAAAATTCACACTTCATTGCAAACTTTGATAGGACTACACTACTACTGCTACTAGTGTGAGCTGTGTAAGGATGGGCAGTGGGTTTGCTTTCAACACTGTGGTCTCTGTTTCTATAGAAGAGGAGTTACTATGGTGAAGAACTAGAGTACTCTTAACTAGAACCTCAAGGTCTCCAGACTTCATCTTATTTAAGAATTTTTAATATTTTGGTCTTGTTGATTGCCTGTAAAGGAACAGTTACATTTCACTGCAAGATACTTAAAATTATGGACACATAAAATTGACATGCTTGCCCACTACTTCCTGTCTACTTGGAGAGAGGTTTTGTAACTCTTATATATCCTGGGGAGCATTTTTCTGCTTAAATTAGTTTTGCCTATTTCATCAATATTACATGGTAAGTCAGGAACTAGTCAGTGTGAGTTATACAGCAATACACAGTACTAATTCTTAGTATTGTGTTGGCACTTCATCACCTTTAAATATACATGCTAACGCTCCAGAGTAATGCTTATCTGCGAACATCAGGTTTTCACTTACATAAAACAGCTGCAGTGTTTGAGGAGAAGGTTTGCATTTTCCAGAGTGCTCAAAGAGCAGAAAGTAAAACAAAAACAAACAAACAAACATACAAACCACCCACCTAAGTGCAAAAACATCTTAATACTTTTGAGAGGGGGATTTTTTCATCAACTAATGGTTTTGAGAGCAGTCCCACAGCTGTGGAGGTCCATTGGATTGTGGGCCTTTGTATGTGAAGCCCTGACAGTCAGAGTCCTACCTGTTCTTGCTTGAGGAAAAAAAAGGCAGATGTCTGCACTTCTTGTGAAGCAATGAGAGCCTGCTTGCTGGGCAAGAAGTTGTTCAATAGGATAATGTTGTTTAATCCCAGCCAGCAATGAAGGCTTTTTTGTGTCTTTGTTCTGATAAGAGGATCAGCTGTACTGCTTTACCCAATTACCCCAGGATGTCATGGGAGATGAATTTTTGGACCTTAGTTTTCCCACTGGAGAAGTGTAATGTCGTCACTTTGTATTAAAAAATAGATCTAGATGAAAACAGCAGGGAAAGGCAGCTGCCCCTTCTAATGTCTCTGGGGATTTTGTGTTTTGCAGGAGATGCACGGGTGAGAGGTCAGACAGGGGTTGTCTCCGAGCGCCGCGGCTCCTACCCATTTATAGACTTCCGTCTTCTTAACAGTAAGTGCAACCCTTCTTTCAGGTCTGTATTTAAATAAAAACAAATAAAAATCTCTACTGGAAGTGTATGAACCAAACTGTCTCATCTCACACATATCTGTAGCTCAGCTGTCTTCACACAGTCAGCATTAATTCCATTATTTCCACTCAGTGTCTGGCTGTGAAATGTTTTGATTGTGTGAATAGTCCATAATGCTCAATCTGTCAAATGTAAATACAGTAGGGCCATGGGGTGTGCTAGGGAAGGAGCAGGAGCAGTTCAGAATTAAAGAGATAAACCTCTGTGTCCTTTAGCCTCTTAGACAACAGTTGGAACAGATTTATGTGAAGCTGTTATCCGGTCATATAGAATTGGCACAGAAGGGGAGCATGTGACAGCACTGACCAGTGGTTTACAATAACATTAATTTTTCCAACAATTAGAACCCAATCCAAAGCCCCATGGAGTCTTCTCATTGACGTCAATGGATTTTGGGTCAGGCCAGCAGTGAACATCTGTTAAAAATAATCTTAACCTCATTTTGATTGAAGTTATTTTGCCACTGTTGTAAATAAAGGACAGCAAATCTAAAAAGAAAAAGAAACAAATCAAAGCCCTGTTGGGTGTTTTTTCACCTGATGGACTCTCTATACTCATGCAAACCCATTAGCAAGTGTGTAAAAAAATAAAATAAAAAGAACCACTAAGTCTTGTGTCCCGTAGCACTCAGCCTGGATGCTGTGTAAACTTCAGTGTATGGACACAGGCAGATTTTGATATGTCCTTGTGTACTGCACAAGGAACCTTTGAAAAAACTGTTACTCACTGTCTTCATCAAAACAAACTGGACCTCCCAACAGTTTCAGTGCTGGCACTGTCATGCTCCTAGGGATTGTGCTTTTCATCAAAGAGCAATTGTCAAACCACACTTTGAATTCTCCTTTTTGCACTTCCTTGTCTGGGTGCCTGGGGAAGGGAGGAGGAAGCAGGGAGGGAAGGGAGCAGAGAGGAGGGCAAGCAGGAGGGCTGGCTGGGAGTCAGGAGTAGAGAGGAGCTGGGGAGGGAGGGCTTGGGGTCTGATGGGCTGCATCCACCCATGCTGGTGGAGTTACTGCCACCCAGCAACGTGCTGCTGTCAGTCCTGCTGGTTAAAGGTGTTTTCTGGATTGGAAGTCCATCAGAGAGCTTGCTATGGCTGAGGTAGAAAGACATAAGGGGGTAAGATGAGTTCATCAGTTTTCCCAGGACAAAGAGAATAACTTACTGGTTGAGCAGAGTTTTGAGGACAGTTTAGTTCTGACTTGCCAATGAAAAGCATGAAGAAAAATCAGGTGTAGGCCAGCTGAAAATAGTATTGGTCATGCATGCCCTTGTAAAAGCTGAGAGAAAATAAAGCACTTTTCATGCATGAAGTAGAAGTGGATATATATTCATATTCAAATGCGACTAAGTTGATTCTTTCTTTTTTATTTTGAATACATATACATTATATAAAATTCGGTTTCTTTTAAACTTCAAAAGAGTTTTTAGTTTCTTTACCCATGGAGAAGGAAGAACACCAGAATAGTTTCAGGATTTTTTTCTGGCTATGGGGCTTTCACTTCTAGCCCCTGTATGTGAGTCCTGCCCTCCTCCAGATCCTGCCACTTTCTGGGAAATGCTGCTATCCTGGGCAGTGTAGAGAGACATCCATGGCAAGGGATGCTCTGGCTGGGAATACTCAGCCTTTGATCATGCCAAGAGCAAGGCACTCCACCTAAGCTAAAAAGTGATGCCTCCTTGTGTGTGTGCCTCTGGTCCAGCAGGGTAGGGAACCTGGGAGTTCTGTGCTCCTATGCTCTCTCTCACAGAGACCTCCAGCTTCCTCTTATTACTGCTTTTCCATAACCTGAAATGTATGGCTGGCTGATCATGATCTCTGTAAGGGAAAGCAGTGATCCTGATTTTAGATTCCCCCTGGTTTTCAGGTTTTTGTATATTTACCACTTTCTCTCTGAGTAGTGTTGCCTTAATTTTTTGGTGCAAAATGAAGTGGGATTTCTAGACACTTGACTACTAATTTTGTAGCTGGCAAGTGCACACTGGGCCTGGATCACTTGGTGACCTACAAGTAAATGAAGATGCTCAGTGTTAGAGCATGCAGATGTGTTTTGCCAGAAAATAAACAGGCTTTTGTAATATTTGTTCATCTACGTCTTTCTGTTAAATCCATTCCTGCTGTGCAGAAGTAGCAAAAAACATAACCACATAAACAGCAAAAAACATGGTGCTGCCCATCCTATCAAAAAGAAATATATATAAATGCCACCACTGCACACTTGCTTGAAAAGTACCCAATTAATACCTGCAATAAAATTTTGTTACCATGTTGCATTTGTTTGGGGGCAGTAACTGGCAGGCAACAACTGTATACTGAAAAATGTTAGAATGAGGGAAGGAAGAGGCAGATGAAATGTTATAGTAAACGTTCTCAGAGGTCATCAACAAATGCAGCATAAACATTACTGCAGCTTCTCACTAACAAACTGAGCTTAAATAGCGACTGTTCTATCTTGCATCTGAAATACTGTTCCAAAAAACAGTACTAGCTTTGTTTCAAAGTAAGGGAAAACACTGAAGCTCATTCTTGAACAAGTTGACATCCATTATGTAAATTCACATGTAAAAAAAATACAGGGTTTTGATATTTAATGTCAGACTAAAGATTACTTATATGAAACTTTTTTTAGTGCAGATTCAGTCAAATTAGTGGATGTTTCCCTACTTTGTCTGTTAAGGGTTAACACTGACTAGACCATATCTTCTGTTTTTTCTGGAGTCGTACAGAGAAGTCTCTGTGTAACTTAAGACACCATGAAGTCTTTCTGGATAGGAAAACTTCCTTCACTCTGAAAATGGGATCTTCTGTAGCCCTAATCAAAGCCAACTGTACTAATGTTGGCTTCTTGCTGTTTGAGTCTGTGATGCCATCTACACATTCCCCCAGTGACTCTGCAGTATATAGAAAGTTAGTGTTGCTTCACCTTGTCTTTTCCAGGCTCTCAGGACCATGAGGATTTTTCAGAATCCTCTCTGGGGGAGATGCAGGGCTTTAGTGTCTTCCTGTCTTTCCTCTGCCTAGCTGCAAGCTTTCCTAGGCATAGTTGCACTGGTGGGTTTGGGGACTCTTAATAACTCTGGAATACAAAATTGAGTGCAAAATACCCCTGTGTCACTGAGAACTCCTTGGTTCTGTTCTCTGAGGAGTGAATGTTGTGGACACCTGTGTGACCCACCAGATTCTGCTCTCTGTTGATGGCAGCCAGTCAGAAGCTTGAGGGGAAGCCGTGTAGCAACTCCTCCCCAGCAGAGGGAGGACTCCGAAAATAAGAGATACAAATTTTGCACAGTCCTATAGGTTTATGGGAAGATAGGGTGATAGTTTTTTCTTCAATTAATTCCAAACAAAACCTCACAAATTTTAGGAAATTTTGACTCTGAACTGGGTAGCTCAAGCTTCGGACTGAACCTGGTGCAGGTCGAAATTGATGTTGGCAACTCATTGACACTTCCACATTTCAGTGAATTAAATGAACCTTACTGTTCACAGGACAGAAAAGGAGTTAAATATTTGCTGGGAAATAATTTAGAATTCAAAACACTTCTGCAGTGAAAATTAATCCAATTTTCCTTTTAGCAGAGTATATTTTGGATTTGAGGAATAAAGGAGCATAGCTATGGTAAGCAATAATTTAGTTCTCTGATTCATAAAGTTGCTCAGTGAGTCATTGAAGCAGATCTCACTAGTGACTAATATGCATTGATTTGAATGGATTTTATTATCTCATGAGGGTTTTTTTAGTGGCTGTGACAGTACACTTCTTCATTGCCTTAACTCAAAAGTTTGAGGGAATTCCTTGTGATTAATCTGGACTTGTAGGTAAACATGCAGCAGTTAGCAAGACCTCACCTTATGGCAATTATGTTGGATACTTTGCTTTATTGCCAGGTTCAATCAAGTAGAGTAACAAAATAACATAGATTACAGCTGTGATAAGTAACTTACTATTTAGAAGTTTGCTTGTCAAGCAAGCCAGAAGACAAGGTTCTTAAGGCTTAAATTCTCCTGCTCCCATCTTGTTTATGCTAAGCTTTTATCTGGATTAAATTTTGGCTTGCAAACAACAAAATTATTTGCCTTTAATTGACTATATTTAATTCCCTTCTTCAGTATTCACTTCAGTATTTATGTATGTGACCTGCCAATTGGAGTCTCTGTACCCAAGTGGTGTTACCAGAGAGATACCTGTTTTCTTACACCTTGCACAGCAGGAACACAGAGTGGGATCTGAGAATATGCAAAATGTCAAAACATGTCTGTAGACATTCCAAAGGTATGTCTCTGTATTACTCAGGATCCTGATGTTGTCATGCAAGCAGAAGCTGAGTCCCAAAGAACCCCACCTGCTTTAAGCTTAGCATGGCAAATTAATTTATTACAGATTATATACTTCTAACTCCAGATGGTGATAAATGGTCATATTAGGTAACATTCCATCTCTGTCCTTGATTTGTGTCTGATCTGAGTCAAGCAAAATACTCTGGTTTTCAGTTTGTTTGCAAATAAAGTGAATTCATCACATACTTTGCAGGAATGTGATGAATTAGGTATTGGAGAAATAAAACATGTTGTCAGGATTAGTAAGGGAAGATATGAAGCCATGAAAATGTCTCCATCTCAAAGAGCCAAAGTCTGTGGACATTTGAATCTGTGGTTTCTGCCTGTCTACAGAAGGGTCTATTGCAAAATTTACATTCATTTTTGGGTTTGAATTTTGAACACTCCAGGGCTTTCAGGTAGGGCCCATCTCCAGGGAAAATAAAACTTAACCACAGCCACCAACCCAAAACTGAACCATCAAGTAACCTGAACCCAATTGAGTGAGGTTAAAAAGAGTTTGGTTAAGCGCCTTGTTTTGTTGCCTTTGGCTAGAAAAAGAAGTGGGAGTGAGAGATGTTTTTTTAGATATTTCTGACCTGG